CACCTTCTTCCACCTCCACCTCCTTCACCCACCCACCATAGCCAAGCACCTTCACACCTCCTTCCACCTCCACCTCCTTCACCCACCCACCATAGCCAAGCACCTTCACGCTTTTCTTTTTTTGCAGATCTGAATTCTGCAAAGTCTGTGTGTCTGCTGCAAATCCAGAATTTGCAACTCTGAGTTTTCCTGATGGTTCGGACGTCAAGGCCACGCAAGTAGGTAGGGGCTGGAAACCTAGGGTCCACCATAGCCAAGTACCTTCACACCTTCCTCCACCTCCACCTCCTTCACCCATCTGCCATAGCCTTGCGCACCTTCACACCTTCTTCCACCTCCACCTCCTTCACCCATCCACCATAGCCAAACACCTTCACATCTTCTTCCACCTCTGCCTCCTTCACCCATCCACCATAGCCAAGTACCTTCACATCTTCTTCCACCTCCACCTCCTTCACCCATCCGCCGTATCCAAGTACCTTCACACCTTCTTCCACCTCCAACTCCACCCATCCACCATAGCCAAGCACCTTCACACCTTCTTCCACCTCCACCTCCTTCACCCACCCACCATAGCCAAGCACCTTCACACCTCCTTGGACCTTCACCTCCTTTACCCATCCACCATAGCCAAGCACCTTCAACACCCTCTTCCACCTCCACCTCCACCCATCCACCATAGCCAAGCACCTTCACACCTTCTTCCACCTCCGCCTCCTTCACTTATCCACCATAGCCAAGTACCTTCACACCTTCCAACTCCACCTTCTTCATCCATCCGCGATAGCCAAGCACCTTCATGTCGTCTTCCACCTCCACCTCCTTCACCCACCCACCATAGCTATGCACCTTCACACCTTCTTCCACCTCGACATCCTTCACCCGTCCACCATAGCTAAGCACATTCACACCTTTCACCTCCACCTCCTTCACCCATCCACCGTAGCTATTCACCTTCATACCTTCTTCCACCTCCACCTCCTTCACCCATCCACCACAGGCAAGTGCCTTCACACCTTCTTCCACCTCCACGTCCTTCACCTATCCACCATAGCCAAACACCCTCACACCTTTTTCCACGTTCACCTCCTTCACCTATCCACCATAGCTATGCACCTTCACACATTCTTCCACCTCCACCTCCTTCACCCGTCCGCCATAGCCAAGCACCTTCACACCTTCTTCTTCCCCCTCCGTCACCAACCAATGCCGCGGTCCAAGGCAAATAGGGCAGCTAGTCGTTGAAGAGGTCATAGGTAGGATGGTGGGACGAGTAGGGGGTAAGTTGGATTAGGCTTAGGGGATCTCTCTCTCTCTCTCTCTCTCTCTCTCTCTCTCTCTCTCTCTCTCTCTCTCTCTCTCTCTCTCTCTCTCTCTCTCTCTCTCTCTCTCTNTCTCTCTCTCTCTCTCTCTCTCTCTCTCTCTCTCTCTCTCTCTCTCTCTCTCTCTCTCTCTCTCTCTCTCTCTCTCCCCTCCTCCTCCTCCTCCTTCTTCTTATGCTCCAAAGACTATCTTTTCCTTCTCTCCCAAAATCTCGAGGTCGACCCTCACCCTCTCCCCCTTTTTTCTCTTGGCATGCGAGTAACCCTTTCATCACTCACTTGTTACATTGCCAGGGTACGAACGGAAAAAAAAACTTTGAATCTCACCTGGTGGAAGAAGAGGGCAAAGGGAGGGTTGCTGGCCCCTTGTGCCACCAAGAAGAAAAGAGAGAAGAGAGCTTGACAAGCTTGACGAGTGACAAAGTCCGCGAAAAGGCTAAAAAAAGTTGCCAAGTAAAAGAAAGGTTAGTTGACTCAACCAGAACCCCGACTGCATGACTAAGAGAAGATGATGGTTTGGATAAAGGAAACAAAATTAGAAGGGAAAGTACCCAAGGACATGGAAATTAGGCATGTGGGAGGGACTATTTGTTGACCCCAAATGGGGATTGTATCTGTTTGCATTGTGATTGAGTGTTCAGGTGAGTAGCTTTGGGATGTCTTGAGCTGGACTGAGGCCGGGTATGTCGGGCGGCAAAGGGAAAAGGGGAACAAAAGCTAAGCGGTTGTAAATGTAACCTATGCTCCTAAGTGAGACATGTTGTGCATGTTGCTTTGAGTATGAATGAAAAGGAAAAGGCAGGGCGTGTATGAGTGAGACCTTCTGACACTGGTGTTTGCTTGTTCTGGGGAGGCATGTGACAAATCGCAGGTCGACCCTTCCTCTTCGTTTAAAAGAAGGGCTTCGGTTACCTGGCAGGCGGTTGGCGCTTGCAAAGAAAATCCCACAGCGGAGTGATCCGACCGGATGGGTGTTTTTCTCTTTACTTCATCTGGGCCTAGGGGGCGCTTGCGCTAAACACTTGAATTGCTTTAAGAAACCAACATGAACACAATGGTCATCAAGAAGGAACAATCCTGCCCTATGAAACGACAGACAAAGGAAGATAATGAGAATGAAGGGAGTTGTTAGGCTCCAAGAAAAACTAGCTCACCCTTGAAGAGGCTCACGAGAAGGAACCTGCCACTGTGTATGGAAAATAGGGGGAGTGACACACACTGTCCTGAGAGAGAATGTGAGGCATGGGTAGGATGCGCTGGATGCATCAAGGGAAAGACACTTGTTTTATGTGTGTCCCACTTCGAACTTGCGAATTGCTTGACGGAAATTGAGTGTCCTGCCGACGGAAAGGAAGGAAGAGGGCCTGAGTCAGCCGGGGCGGGTTGTGAAACTTCGTTTCCCATGGGTGATCCTTTTGTCTCATGTTGGCAGGAGTTGGTCTCGTCGAGTTGACTAGTAGCATTCTCTCCAGGGTGGACCGAACATGGCTCAGCACCTTGCCCGTCGAGATGCGAAACGTCTCCTCGGACGGGGCAGCTGCTTGTCAGCAGACGGAGGAAAGACCACTACATATGGGGCAAGGAGGGTGCCCTGGGGACGATTAGTAGCTTCCCAAAGTACAGCATGGGGAAAGAAAAATCCTAACGGACCAAAGAATGTGAATGCCCGGACGACTAACCTTTACTCCTACCGATGATACACGGGGTGATTCTCGGTAACAGCGGGGGCGTGCAAGGGCGGCAAGAAGGGATGGGGTACTCTGGGCAAACGGAGAGGGGTGATAACCTGTGCCGAAGTTGAGGTACTGCGCTTGTGACAGTTGAGCTGCACTTGAGGTATGGGATAAAACTCTGTCGAAAGTACCAATGGAGAGACTATATTGGGAAAAAGGTCGGTGAGGAGATGACCAGCCTGTGTGTGAGATTGCCTGCATTTTCTTTTTTGTAATCCTCCTCTGTGAAGCTTGGTTGAGATTTGAGTTGTTGGGCAGGGCGAAGATTCTAGTTTATTCCCACCTCCGACCTAAGTCCACACGAGTGAGTGAAGATCGTGAGGAAGGAGATAGAGGTAAACTTTAAATGGAACCTAGAAAACGAATGTGAGTGAAGGGGACCGATCAAGGGTATCCGAGGAAGGAAGGAGCTTGGGAATGGGGAAGTAGATTATGCTAGACCTTGATGAGGGGTCTGAAAATATTCTCATCCAGGATATAGACTGACCAAACCTAAGGATCGGGGTCGATGCTCGGTTGTGAAAAACAGGGATCGGGTGTTGAAACCAAGATAGCGCGGTGACTATCGTCTCCAATTTATTCAAGCGGACCGGAAATTCCAGTAGATATAAAGGACGGGGTATCCATCGTTTTGCCTGAAGAAGGGACCTGGACAGATCTAGAGCCAACATATCAGACCGTGATGTTAGGCGAAGGGGATGCCTTCCTTTGGATAGAAACTTTGTAGACCAAGATTAGCCTGACGCAGCTGACGCCGAGTTTGACAGATCAAGAATTTCGGGGGACAGTGGAAGCACGGGGGTGGATTTATCTATTCCAGGAAGGGGAGAACGCGATGGTTGTTGACTCGGCATCGAGGATAGTCCCGTACAAACTATTTAGACGGGTAGAACGGGAAGTAGTATGGGCGGCGTGTCGGCTGGCGAAAATGGAAATGGACGAGATAGACGTGCGGGTGGAACTCGGGGATAGAGGGAATGTGAGGTGTCCACTTAGAACGATGAGGTGTGTGTTTCCTTCGTTCGTGGTATACGCTGTTTTCAGAAACCGGAGCAGGCTAATACATATATGCCAGTCCATGACAAACCTCGGACTGTACCAATGTGCCAGGCAAGATTTCTTTCGGCTATCGGTTGAGGTGGGACCCTTCGAAAGGAATTGGGCAAGAGAACTAGCGGAGATGTTGAACTGCCTTAGCATAGACGAGGTGTACGTTCCGAGCCCCATGCATTGGAAAATAGTCTACCAAAATGTGGCGATAGGGAAAACATTCTGGAGGGATAAGGGAATTGTTTCATGAAGAGGAAGATGACCTCATCGACGAGGAGGGGGACAATGAGATAGAAGACTGGGATCTATGAGAAGGGGGGTTTACAGACATGGGGTGAAATGTGTGGTCAGCGCTGTGCAGGTAACGAAATGGCTAGAGAACAACGCCTGGACGATTGCATGTTTAGAGGATGGAAACCAAGGCAACTCAAATAGGAGGGGTAGAAATGACCCTGCCAATAAGAAATGAATGGAGGGGAACTATTTGTGACTGGGTAGGAGTGAAAATCGTGTTTGAACTCTGGTATCTATGGGTGCCAAGGATGTGGAACCCGATAAGAGAAGAAGAGGGGTGGGACGAGATAGTCGAGAGAAATGTGGAGTCCCTCGGAACGGTCTGCCTGTCACAAAAGGGTTGACACTTGTTTTGCATAACATTGGCAGGATCCAATGTGGATCTTAAGGGAGACCGACCAGTGGACCAGCAGCAAGGCAGAGGAATTCACCAATGAAGGATGGGATGAGATAAGCAACAAAGTTGTAATGGGAGGATAGGAGGAGCTCAGGCTGCCATGTCAGTTAGCCCAGGCCTGGTACCGTATTTTGTGGCAGACCGGTTGGGAGGATACAAACATATTTACAAAGTAGCGAAGTCCCTAGACGAGATTGACCTGGAATTTTCGTGGCTGGTCGATGCTTTCTACAAGATCTCGCTAGAAGAAGGACCTTTCTACGACGGTAGAGCCAAGGAGGTCGTCGACATCTTGAAAGTTGTCAGGGACGACCGAAGTGAGGTGGACGACGAAACAAAGGATGATATACTTTGTCGTGAAGTGGCGATGGCCCCTTCGTATGTAGGCGACGTGTTCCTGCTGTTCAAAGTCTGGTGGTTCTGACCAGCGGGAATCAGCGCTTGAGCAGGGAGAGTGTCTGTGAGAGTGACAAAAGAATGAAGAATCGAAGTATGTACCGAATGAGATTAAGGCAGGGGAGATGATGTGTATTGTACAAAAACCGGCAGTGCAAATTAGGAAAGACTAAAACAAAGGAGCACAAAATTTATGTGGATGCAGTGGTTGACCGCAAAAGAGCAAGGGGGAAGGCACCGCACGATAGCTCGAAGACAAACACTTTGGGAAGACATACCACTCGGGATCCTGCCGCCTCACGAAACGGACGACAGGGTAGAGATAAGTATGCCGGCAAGAAGTGGGGTTAGCAACCCGATAATGGACTGGGTAGGAATAGGGCTTGTGGAGGACACATTATATCTAGTAATACAACTAAAATGGTGTGCAAGGGGCGAGTTTGGGCGTGTGAACCTGAACCTTCCAAGGCGCGTTCACGCGAAGGGATCGCTCTACCTATTAGGGGAGGGATGATGCACCTTCGGGATCACGTTGGCATCCGGGAACGACCCTGTGCATATGTTCAAGAGGGTCTGGCAGATAACGTGGTGAGAGGGATTCAAGTTTGCGGATCCTGAACGGATGACGTGACGACCGAATTGAGAACCACCATGTCACGGACCTTCACCCTGCCCAATGAGAATGTACGAATGAGGTTGTCGCTCTTCCTGCTGCGACGGATGGGAGGTGTGGAGCGCGTCATACAAGCAGTAGCGGCATTAGCCAAATTGAGTTTTGAGGAAGCCTTGTTGTATCGGGAATATTACCGGGCCTTCTTAGAGATGGGGCCATTTGAGGAAGAGCAGGAGTATGAAGTATTGCGCATACTGCGCGCATATGTAACAACAAGATCAAGGATCCGGCAAATCGGTGATGACGTCTTATGGAGGGTCATTAGGCGAGATGTAAGTCGCGAATTGACATACATAGACGGTGGAAGGGGCATTACGAAGACTGAAAGGCATGACGGCAAACTCGTAGTGCCCAAAACAAGAACAGAAAGCGGCCTTAGGCTGGTCCTCCTCGGCTACGCGGATCTGGTGATATCCGCTGCGAAGACCGATCTTCGTGAAAAAGTGGTGGTTGGAGAGGCGGTCGAACAGATCGTTCGCGCGGGGCATAGGATAATTGTTCCTGACTGTATAGTCGTTGAGACTGCGGTAGTCGAGGCAGAGGTGGAGGGTGTCGTCCTTCTTGCAATCAAACAGGACAGGTGCACTCTATGGGGACGTACTCGATTTAATGAAGCCCTAACGAAGCAACTAGTCAATTTGGCGTTTAAGTTTCTGGGCTTCGGGGACCGAGAGGCGATATGGGGCGCGATGCTGAATATGGTAGCTAGGTTCGAGCTGGATGTGGTGCTTGATATCGCGGCAGGAGGGATGCTGCTACAAGAGACAGATGGAGGGATAATATCGTGATACTTGCGAAGGAGGGCAGCAACGCTAGGCTGTAGGGAAGAAAGAAGGTTATCAAATTCCTTGGCAGCCACAACATCTGACGCAGGGGTGGAAGGAGTCGGTGTGGGAATAGGTACAGAGGGAGTCTCACTGGTTAGAGATGCAAAAAAGTGAGATGAGCTAGCATGTGTGAAGGAGGATGAGGAGGCGGAAGGATCAGGAGTGTTGGGGGGCTCGGGGAGTGGTGGGTCGAGCTCGACCAACTCAGCGTCCTGATGCATGGAGTTACAAGTGAGGAGATCCGTAATATCGACAACATGGAGTTCGGCATCCAACTGACGAAGGATGTGGTTGAATTGAGTAGGTGTCAAGATGGCGACATTGACAGGAGAGGGGGGTGTAGAGTCCAATTTGCCCAACAACGGAATACGGTACTGCTTCCCATCCTTGGCGCCGAGGCCGAGGTCGTTGTGGATCCTATCGGGATCGGAATGGGCGAACTGATGGGAGTAGGCAGTGCCGAGAACAAGCTCGTATAGGGTTTCCATGACATCGAAGGTCCACTGGTCATGGAACCGAGGAGCCTTGCCAAGGCTATGGGGCATCCGCAAGGGGAAGGAGAATGAGAGATCAAGCACCAGACAGTCGATGAAGGACCTTGCCTGATTGTCACCAAGTGTAACGGTGACAGTAGAAGGGTAGGTGGATGTACAAAGAGAGGCCTCCTTGGCTATGTGAGGATGGATGAAGTCGCCAGTAGAGCATGAATCCCACAATGCGCGATACACCCTAGTGCAGGTCCCGAGGCGCACTGGAATAATAGGTAGGGTGCAGTCGGGTTTGTGGAAGCGCTGAGACATCGCAGATAGAGTATGCTCTTTGAGGCGGAGACATTCCTGGCGGTCCTTAACACACTCGAGGTCCAGGGAGTCGATGATATCCTCGGCTGCAACAAGGGAAGCATTGCAGCGGGTCGTGCGAAGAGCACCGGAGGCCGCAAAACCATTTTTGTTCCTACCCATATCCGACCCAGCCCAAGCCTTGATGTATCATATCTAGCTGGAGCCATGTAAGCACTATTATTTTTACCCAGACCCAGCCCACCCATGCTAATTTAATTTTTTTTCTACCCGTACCCAGCCCACCCAGGGTGATTTAAAAATTGTCTAGCCATACCCAGCCACACCCAGGCCAAAATTCCCTTCACCCGCATCCAGCCGCCCCCGAACCTAGTATCCATCCACCCGTGCCCAGTCGTACCTGTGCCCAAAATTTTCCACCCAGGCTTAGTCTTCCCTTTTATCTTTATTTCAAACTTAGGCCTTGCATGTCGGATTCCTTAGCTTCCATCCACAGATTTCCGCTTCAAATTTTGGCGCCGGCAATGAGCCAGTGGCTGGGGATACTCACATTGATACTTTCTTGTGTACATTTGGCCGCAACTATAGCCAGATTTTGATGGATCTGACTGCAATTATGGCCAGAGCCTGTTAGTGAATGTTGTATTCCCTAGGATGAAACGATTGGGGCCAGGCCAAATTAATAGTACGGTCTGGCACTAGTACTACCTCGGCCCTAAGACAAATAACAGACGGCCAGAGACAAATTTATATTAGGGGCACGCCCCACTAGTACCACTATTTCCCAGTGAAGAAAAAGGGTCAGGCCTGGCTGGCCCTAATACTACCTAGGCTTGCCAAATATGCCTAGTATGCCTACAGGCCTCGGGTCACCCGCGCGAAACCTCTACCCAGCCGTACCCGGAACCAAGGCAAACCTTTGCCCGACCGTAACCGTCGAGGCACTATGTCAACACCCAACCCCACCCACCCTACAGTTTCCTGCCCCGGCCATATCCACCCCTCAGATTTCTAGACCCAACTGCCCTGGTGCATACTAATCATGCCATACCCGCACCCGTCCATAACTGTCGGGTACGGCTGGGTATGATCGGGTCGGGTCACGGCCACCCAATGTCAACCTCTGAAGAGCACGCCTAGTAGGAGGGTGTGGCGGAGGAGGATCACGAGAGACACTAGGCAAAGAAGGGAAAGATGCACCAATGTCACTAGGATCAACGAACGGTGAGGTCTGACCCGAGTCCTCAGAAAGAGTAACAACCTGCTCGAAGGTAGAATTGTGAGCGGGTATGCCTGCTACTGTAGGAGGATCAAGGGGACGGGAGATCGCCGCTAGGTGGCTGCGGCGTTGTAGGTCGAAATGGGGGGGTCGGCCTGCGGGTGGGACTGTTGAGCAAAGTGGCGATGGAGGGCGTCGGCGTAGGGGCAGGTGGATGGGGTGTGACCAGGTAGGTGACAACGGGTACATATACCCCGTGTACGAAAGTCCTCACTCTCCGTGACAGTCAATCGTGCCCGGGGGAAGACGTAGCCGATGGGAGGGGTTGCTGTGGGGCCGATGAGTGTGTCCTCGATGAGGAGGATTGGCGCTGCCCGAGGAAAGCACAGAAGGCGCAGGCGAGGTGCTCGTCCTGGTCGGGATCGTCACTATCCACAGGGGACTGGGGGTCATGTCCCTGGTCCGGTTCACTATGGGATCCATCCGGACGAGTACCCTCCTCACTGCTCGACGACTCGCGGAGCATAGTCTGGACACGGTGGAAGAAGGCCCGTCCAAGAACTCGGCGGGGGCACGGCGAGACGTGGAGAACTATCAGGGGCGAGATGTGCGAAGGGCAGACGTCGTAGCGGGAGGTACAGCACCAGGCTCATATGTTGAGCCCACAAGAGGTGCACAGGTGAAGCGGATGGCCCTGGCAATGTTGAAGGCCTCGGGGAGGGTGTGGACTGTGTATGCCAGCATCTGAAGTTGGAAGGGTTGGGGTAACCCGACATGGAAACGCTGGACTATAGTGTCGTCGGCTATGGAGGGGGGAATCTGGGCACAAACGTCGTGGAATGCCGTGATGTACGACTCTAAGGCATTGTTGTCACCAAGCCATCTGATCTCAACGACCCGTGTGATCGGGTTACAGGTAGGCGTCGGGCGAGAGAAGTACTGCTGGAGAAAATCACGAAACTCCACGTATGTTGTAGGGCCTCACCCTGTTAGACTTTCGAGCCTGAGTCGACCCTTCTGCGGGTCCCAGTTGGCTCGACTCCACCCACACTCATGCTCAGGGCGAGGAGCCATTCGTCACAGGGTCAGCCCCACCTAGTGCTTTGAGATGGATGGGGGTGGGCCATTGAGCGAGAGAGTTTCGGCATTGGGGATGTAACTCAGCTTTCTCGCTAGTGGTGCAGTTTCGTTGTTCACTCGCAAGCGTCTTTTTCTTGATGTTTTTGCAGTGTCCTGAAGCAATTGCTCCTGCTAAAACACAGGCAGTCCAAGGGGTTCTTTGAGACTTCTCTTCCATTATGCACAAGCTAAGCGTCATCCTTAGGTCACACATTCATTCCCTGACGCAATGGTCTTATAGCTTCATCGAGGTAGGCATCGCCCTTCCCCTCTTAACTGGTCTACGCACTATCCTTATTTTCTCACTACTTCCACACATCATGCCTCATATCTGGTTGTATCCTCATTCACCCCTTCATCTTTTCGGGGTTCCCATCTGCACACTTATAGGACTTGCCGGTCATCTCGACCGCCCGACACTTTGGCAAACTTCAACCATACACGCCCTGCCTTTTCCTTTTCATTCATACTTGGGGCAGCATGCACAAAAGGTCCCACTCATGGGCATCGGTTACGTTTACAGCCGCTTAGCTTTTGTTCCCCTTTTCCCTTTGCCGCCCCGCATACCCGAGCTCAGTCCAACTCAAGACATCCCAGAGCTACCCACTTGCACACTCAATCACAATGCAAACAGATACAATCCTCATTTGTGTTCAACACATAGTCCCTACCACATGCCTAATTTCCATGTCCTTGGGTTATTTCCCTTCTCATTTTGTTTCCTTCATCCAAACCATCCTCTTCTCTTAGTCATCCAGTTGGGGTTCTAGTTGAATAAACTAACCTTTCTTTTACTTGGCAACTCTTTCTAGCCTTTTCTCGGACTTTGTCACCCGTCAAGCCTGTCAAGATCTCTTTTCCCTTTTCTACTTGGTGGCACAAGGGGTCGGCAACCCTCCCCTTGCCCTTTTCTTCCACAAAGTGAGATTCAACATTTTTTTTCGTTCGTACCCTGGCAATGTAGCAAGTGAGTGAGGGAAGGGTTAGTCGCATGCCAAGGGAAAAGGGGGGAGAGGGTAAGGGCCGACCTCGGGATTTGGGGAGAGAAGGAAAAGATAGTCTTTGGAGGATAAGGAGGAGGAGAAAGAGGGAGGGAGAGAGAGAAAGCGAGAGAGGGAGGGCAAAGGGGAGAGAGAGGGAAAAGGAGAGAGAGTGTGTGTGAGAGAGAGAGATAGATCCCCTAAGCCTAATCCAACTTACCCGCTACTCTTCCCACCGTCTTACCAACCCCTTCAACGACTAGTTGCCCTATTTGCCTTGGACCGCTGCATTGGTTGGTGACAGAGGGGGAAGAAGGTGTGATGGTGCTTTGCTATGGTGGATGGGTGAAGGAGGTGAAGGTGGAAGAAGGTGCGAAGACGCTTGGCTATGGTGGATGGGTGAAGGAAGCGGAGGTGGAAAATGGTGTGAAGGTGATTGGCTATGGTGGATGGGTGAAGGAGGTGGAGGTGGAAGAAGGTGTGAAGGTACTCGGCTATGGTGGATGGGTGAAGGAGGCAGAGGTGAACGAAGGTGTAAAGGTGCTTGGCTATGGTGGATGGGTGAAGGAGGTGGAGGTGGAAAAAGGTGTGAAGGTGCTTGGCTATGGCAGATGGGTGAAGGAGGTGGAGGTGGAAGAAGGTGTGAAGGTACTAGGTTATGGTGGACCCCAGGCTTCTACCCCCTACCTACTTGCATGACCTTGGCATCCGAACCATCAGAAAAACTTGCAAAATTCAGATTTGCAGCAGACACACAAACTTTGCGGAATTCAGATCTGCAAAAAAGAAAGAAAAAAACTCAGACTATGAAACACCGAGATTTGCGATTTTTTAGTTTTGCCAATTTCGCTGAAGGAGGGAGAGCCGGAAAACACAGATCTGCATTTGGTGGCCCAAACAATGTCAGATGTCCACGTAACTTCATAGGCCCTCTGTCTATACCCTATTGAAGACCTCCCTAAAGTTTGACCGGATTATGCCGCCGTTTGCCCCTACTTGCCTGTTTTCAGGCACCGCCTTAGGCTCTAAGTGAACAGTTCGGGGAAGTCCATTTTTCGTTTTCGAAGAAAAATTGACTCAAATGGCCTGGTGGTTTAGCAGGAAATCTTTATATGCCTAGGATATGGGGCCTATTCAGTCCTAGTCGCCATATCCCTTGTTTTGGCGGAGCCGGTTTTTGGCACCCCTGGCCCCCTCCGGCCGTTTGGCCATTCAAAACCGGCCTCCGCCTGGAGGGCTGGACAACGATATTCTGAGAAGCAGCGGCAGCAAGGTCCTGGCAAGGCATCCGTAGCAACAACAGTTGCCTCATTATCAGCAGTCAGCAATTGTGGCAACAACCACAGTCTCCTACCTATTCCCTCCGCTTACCTCGTTCGAATAGAGCAAGGGGGAGGAATCGATGTTCCAACAAAGCACGATGGGGTTAGTGTGTCATTCAAATAGAGCACATGGGGGTGAGCTGCCACAGGTACACAGTGTTTAATGCGTACACACGGTCATGTCATCAAAATGTACAAAGATTGAAGTCACACTCTATATCCAAGCGACAAGGATTGACAAGGCACGAAGGAAGAGTGAGTGATGCTCTCCCCCAAGCTAGGAAACACAAACAGCAAAGTGGCGAATTACTTTGGAGTGAGAAGATGGACTAATCATGACTATATGATGACATCCACACCAAGAACAACAAGAGATAGAGTTGCGGTTCAGACCCAAGTTGAAAAATTGGTCAAAAGGTGAAGGGAGAATGAGTGCACCTCACTCTCGTGCTAGGAAACACAAAGGGCAAAGTGGCGAGTTGCTTTGAAGTGGGAAAACAAATTAATCATGAACATCTGGTGACATCAACATTAAAAAACAGCAAGAAACAAAATTGTGATTCACATCCAAGTGAAGAAATGATAAAAAAGTGAAGGGATCTCATGCATGAGAACTGAAAATGCAAAGTGGCGAAGTACTTTGAAGTGGGAAAATGGACTAATCATAAGCATATCAAGACATCAACACCAAGAACAACATAAAGTAGAGTTTCGATTCACACCCAAGTGAAGAGATGATCAAAAAGTGAAGGGAGAGTGAATGGAACTCACTCTCATGCATGGAAACTGAAAATGCAAAGTGGCGAATTACTTTGAAGTGGGAAAGTGGGCTAATCATAAGCATATGATAACATCAACACCAAGAAAAACAAGAAGTAGAGTTGCGATTCAACCCAAGTGTAAAGATGATCAAAGAGTGAAGGAAGAGTGAATGAAACTCACTTTCTAATAGAAACTGAAAATGCAAAGTGGCGAATTACTTTGAAGTAGGAAAATGGACTAAGCGGCGGCGAAAGCGACGGAATGAAAAAAAAAGGGAAAATGTGACTGTGGGAGTGAGTGTCGGCATGGGCGTGGGTGCATGGGTGCGTGGGTGTGGATGGTTGGTGTTGCGGCTGTCTGCGCTGCCCTGATGCCTTTTGCCGCTAACACGAGCAGGAAAAGTGGGATCGCGACAAAACCAAAAAAAGTTGTCGGTGACACAAGCAGGAAAAAGTGGGAGTGCGACAAAAACGAAGAAAAAAAAGAAAGCCGGAAAGCAAAAAAAGAAAAGAATCGAGCGGGAAAGCGAAAAAAAAAAAAAAGCGAGCAGCGGGAACCCGACAGACTGCCTGCACCGGAACTGACCCAACGAAAAAAAAAGGGACGCGGCGGACTGTCTGCATCGAAACTAACCAAACGAAAAAAAAAGGGGGGACAATGGCCGCTGCAGCGGCCAAAAAGGAAAAGCGGCGCCGAAAGCGACGGAACGAAAAAAAAAAAGGGGAAAGACAGCCGCTGCAGTGGCCAAAAGGAAAAGAAAAATCCAATGCCCTAACTCAGTTGGTAAGGCACGCAAGTGGCATTCAGGAGGTTGTGGGTTCAATCCCCATTGGCCTGATGTACCTTCCTAGGCATGCTTGGCGCCCGCCACCTAGAGATAAACCACTGGATCCCCCGATCGGCATTGAGCAGAGTCTGCTGATGTTCGTAGGGGAGGGGACCTGAGGGGAGGAACAGGGATTGGTCCTGTTGGCATGGTCCCTGATGCTACCGGCTGTCCCCTAGCCGGTATCGCCCACCTGCAGGTCGGGAGCAGCACCCGCATGTTCTCTCCTGAACACGGTTTTGGCTGATATGGGGTTCCCCGTATGCCTACAATTAGGAGTAGCGGTAGGTAGTAGTGTGAGGTGAAATTGAGAGAAGAATAAAAATAGAAAAAGAAAAGAAAAAAAAAAGAGAAACGAAACGCAGGGATTTTGCTGGCGAGTTCTTTACTTTGCAATAATTTGCAATTCCGAAAAGAAAAAAAACGGTTTTTTTTTTTTTTAATTATGTTTCTAAATGCAAAACGGGCGCCACACACCATTTTACGCATTGCTAGTCGGTCCCTCAACCGTCACACCACTCCACATACATCGTTAGTGGGATTTTCCTTCAGGCCCCTGGTCACCTATGGATATATCTAAAGACTGCCGCCCTTTTTAAAAAAAATAAAAAAAAATTAGGGGGAACCGGTAGCACAGGACCACAGGTCCACGAGGGCTACCGGTAGTACAGTGGGGGGAGCAGGCAGTTTCGCAGTTGAAATTATTTTTCTTATTTTTTTAAATATTTTTCCTGTACAGATCACGACCAAATCTATAGACCCTCAAAGTTTCAGAGTTGTTGGGTCATCCTTCTGATTGCAAAAAATCGCGAACGTTGGGTTTCTTTTCCCATTGGCCCATACGTGGTAGAGTTACTGTAGCAAAAATAGAAAATGTGACAAAACAGCGCGTCATTTACTTCACCGTTAAATTTATTTTTATTTTTATTTTTCTGATATTTTTCCTGGAAAGATCACGGCCTAATCTACAGGATATCAAATTCTCATATTTTTTTGCCGATTTTTCTGAGCGTGAAAAATCGTCAAACGTCACGCTTGAAAATGCTTGGCCCGAACCCGCCTCCGCGACGTTAGGGTTCGGACACACAGGCACATCCTGACGTGCCAGCAGCCTGACGTCGGATACACTTCAAAAGACAGAAATCCCCCAAAACAGACAGGGACCCAGCCCACCATAGTGGTTATAGCATCGGGCAATTGGGTATTTCAAAATCTGTGTGGGTTCAAACCCCAACCCAACCATTGTGAACGAACTTCAAATACTGTATATACTAATACTAATATATGTATATATACTAATACTAACGTGTATGGATGGGTGGATGGGTGTGTGGGTGTGTGGGTGGGTGTGTGTGAACGAACTTCAAATACTGTATATACTAATACTAATATATGCATATATACTAATACTAACGTGTGTGTGTGTGTATGTGTGTGTGTGTGTGTNTAACGTGTGTGTGTGTGTATGTGTGTGTGTGTGTGTGTGTGGGTCAAACCCCAACCCAACCATTGTGAACGAACTTCAAATACTGTATATACTAATACTAATATATG